GTTGCCTGCACTATTATTGCAGACCAGGTCTGGGACCCTCCACTTCCCAGATCTCTGAACTCAAAGGGTGGGAGGGCCTGGCTCTCTGACTTGCCCCATGTCAGTGCAGGGGGCTCCAGGCAGGGAGGCTGAAGGGGTGCTCCCCTCCCCTGCTGCCATCACTCTACAAAAAAGGGGAAAAATGTCCTTGTGCCCTTCTGAAACAGAAGGAAAGCAACCCATTTGGGAAATGGGGTTCAAGACTATACCACTTCACTTACATGGATCAAAGCACTAGTCTTTGTACTTGTGAGAGTACACCATCAATTTTTCACCATCAGCTAGGACACAGTTTCTATAGAAATACCTGTTTCACTAGCTTTTGCTATCCCTGCTGCCCTGTGCTATGTGGTATAAAGATCACTGAAAGACAAATCAGCTGGACATGCAGTAACGGGATACCCTGAGCTTTTCACCAGGGTGTCACTGATTGTCATCAGAAAGACTGACAGTCTCAGAGTTGTCCTATGTGAAATGAGTTTGTTGCTTTCAGTCTAGCTCCTGAAGGACAAGACAGCAGGGACAGAAAGGGAGCAGAGACTCAGCAGATCTCACTCACACAGGTATTCCTGCAGCCACGTCCCCTGCACAGCACTGGGGACCGACCATTAGTGGCTTTAATCCACGTTGCACCAAGTTTACTGCAGAGAGGATTTTCTGCCTCTGCTGCCCAGCCGTGAGAGTCACCATCCCCACAGGTAAAACAATTAATTCATCTATTAGATGATGCTCTGCTCTACAAATTGCAGCTTCTTACATTGGGATTAGTCCATGATTTTAACAGGTGACACAGAGGGCCCCATTGGCCAACTCTGCTCTGGCCCCGAGATGACTCTCTCTCCCTTTCCTTCATTTCAAGGGTTTATCTGTAGCCACACTTAATTTCTGCATTTCTTTTTGTTGCTGAATTTGGATCCATTCTCTTTTTTTTGTTTTGTTTTAAAAGTTCTCTGCCACGGCTTGAGTTACAGATCTGAGCATTTGATAAATATGAATGCCTTTTTCAGATTGTTTAATCTCACATATCAGCAAGGTACTCTTATGAAAACATCTTTCAACAGTCTCTAGCAATACTTCAGTCTATCACAAATACTTAACTCCAGTCTTGTAACAGAAGCAACTCAAACTGATGGATGATGAAAAATTTAAACATTAGACTTTAAGAAGCTATCGCCTCTGTCCTGTTCTTGCACACACTGAAACCCTTTTCAGCTATTCTTTTGGGAGCGCCACAGTACATGTCTCTCATTCAGACATATCTGGTTTCCTAGACAAGGAACTTTCTTGTGTTTGTTTCTGCCTTTGCCCTATTAATTTTGCAGTAAGGTTTGATTACTCTGCATAGCTTAAATCATGCTACCAATGTCAATCCTGATTTGCTTATTCCAACTCATTCACTTTGATCATGAAGGGTATTTTAATTAAAGCATGCTAAATTAATATATAAGGAGATTAAATGCAAAGGAAAGTGCTGTTTCATCCTGACTAACTCCAATAGACAATTAGCAATTGCAGAAAAAGTCTGCTCTGAGATAGCCCTGCTTGATAAGACAATTCACGGGATGAAATAGTTCCTTTTGTCAGTGAAACTAGTCTGTTCACAGAAGTTCACTGCAGCTTTTACACGACCCCAAGTCACCCTGAGGGGATCTCTGCAGATCCCATCCAGCATTTCCCCAGAGATAGTTCCTTGCACCACGGCAGCATACTCTGTTATCAGATCTCTGAGATGTCACCCTTGCAGGACCCTCCAGTTAGGAGTTGCTCCCAGATTGCCTTCTCCCCTTGCTCCCCACACAGCCACTCTTCCACATAAAGAAATCCTAGGCATTTTATCACTCACTGCAATGCAGCCGCTGCCTTATCTGAAGCTTGATAACTAGAAAGCTAATCTCATAATCAAAAGTCTTGCTGATAAGCCTGTGCACTGCCAGTGCCCATCCTCCCCCTTGGAGCCAGGCTCTCAGCACCTCTGCAAAAAGCCCTATACGCAGTGAGGGAACCCTCAAGGAGTTGAGGCTGGCAAGGGAGAAGGGGAAGTAAGGGGAGGGCAGAAGAGAAGAAAGAGAGATGGGGTTATTGGGGCATCTATGGGGAAAGCCAGGACCCACAGCACTTTACCTGTCTCTGCCGTGTGCGCCTCCTTCCCCGAACTCCCTGTACAATGAGCTGGGCGGCTCCAGCCAGGGACCCCAGAGCAGGGGGCAGGGATTGGGGCCAGCACCGCCTTGAAGCCTCAGGTGTCAGCCCAGCAGCACCCAGCCTTCAGCCAGTGGGGAGGGACTCCTACAGCAGGCTGGGGGGCTCAGAGGGTGAGGGACTCCCACAGCAGGCAGAAGAGGATGCTTCCCCTCCTGAGATGAAGAAAGCTCATCAGCTGGCATGGGGGCAACACACAGGGCCAGGCTGGTGCTGCCCAGCACCCTGCTCCCCCCACCTCCCCACCCCGAGCACGGGCAGGTGGCCCTGGGCTCCTTGGAGCAGAATATGAACCAACTGTACCTGGGACCACCCAGCAAAAGGGGGCTGCAGATTCTAGGAGACGGAGTTGTTCCAACTTTGTGTTGAAAGTTTCTGACTAAATGATGCCCTTGCACAGCATCTTTTTCCTGCGATGCAACACATCCAGTGCCACCTTGACAGAACAGATAGTTTAGTTACTTTCCAGGGCAAAACACTGCACGTTAATTAGCGAGACCAAGGTGTGACTTGCACACTGTCACCCGCAGCACAGGATAACGACAGGGAAGGATGAGGCGGGTTCCCCAAACCCAGGGGTAATGAATTTGGACATCAGACTTGCAACAAACTTTTGTCCCCTTGGATGACACCTTAAAGTATTTCAGGCAATTTAACCAACTACTGGACTCAAAAGTTTCTTTGCACAGGATGCGCGAGAGACGTTAGCTACACACAAAATGCACTCTCCGCATCTGGAAAGAGAAAAAGTCCCTTCCCTAACACAATGAGCCACGCTGCGCTCCTTCCTTTGCAAGGAACTCTGATTTTAGAAGTATGGGTGTCGGTACAGTCCCTCAGGGCTGCTCTCCACATTCAACAGGACTAAGCAGCTTTTTAACCCTGTTGAACAGGGTCCCTTAGAATTTAAGCTTACGCTGTTCATAGCTTTTCCCTACTATTGCTTGTGTTTCAGTAAGTGTTTTAATTCCCCATCTCAAGTGTAAGGATACTTGTTTAAATAGAGGGAACAAAATAGGAAATCATAAGGAAAACAAACACTATTATTTACATTGCACCTTCTGTGTCAACACCTCTCAAAGCTATTACAAACCAAAGTCCTAAGTGACAGGACTAAAAGATATGAGATGTGAAATGCATGGTCTCTTGTGTGATTTTTAACCTGTGGGAGTGAAACACTGAAGTACCTTTGAAGAATTCTGTCTTAATACATATTTGCTTCATGAAGCTAAATTCATTACAAATTAAGAAATGTATTTTCCCACTACTAGATGAGTACAAATGAAGGTAATAAAACAAGTGAACGATTCACTCCAAAGCATAGAGCTCATTTTTCCAACAGATAAATCTCTGTACCAACATTCAACAGCACATGCTGAAACGAGAGTACTACTGAGCCTGAATTACTGTTGAAAAAAACCACACCAGTCAAATCCCCCACCCCATACTACAGAATACTCACTATTTCACAAAGATGACTGAGAATAAAAGGCTATTAAATTAGCAAGAGAAATCGCTAATCATCAGACAACTGAAGTCCAAGGTGAACATAAATGACATGCTGAAGCATCCTACTTGGCACTAGTCATTAAAAAAAACCAAACAAAACAACCCAAAACACAATACAACTTTTTTTATACTTCAAAAGCAAAAAGATAAGTCAGTTCTTACTTTACTTACCAGCTGATATACAAGCTGAGGTTTCTCTGCTCTCTCACAACACCTACATCCCAAGCAACGCAATACATAATGCCTGCCAGTGCTGTACTACTTGTGATGCCGCTTGTTGTTTTAAAGGAAGGTTATATCCCAACTGCCAGAAATTACCATTTTAAACAGAGTTTTTAAAACAAGACATGTTAAAATAAACAGCATTTATCTAGTGTTCCTGAAGAAAAGAAAATGTCCCAAGCTAGCAAAACCTTCAAAACCAGGTCCCTATAGCAGTTAGTCTGAGGCAGTTTGACTCACATTTGCAAGAAACTGCCTGCAAGTTTTATAACCTGAAAACTTTTGGGAACAACTTGCTTAGAAAGTTTGTTATTAAAACCATCAGTTTAAAGTACCGTTTTAGCAAGTTCTGCCATAACCCCTTTAGCTGTAAAATGGCAAATACAAAAGCAATGAGGATTTATGAGGCTTTGAGAGGAACATGAAGGAAACCCAACCAAAAGTGACACATTTTTTTGTGGACTGTTAGTCCTTAAACAATACTTAAATGCTGCTTAAATAAACTCAAGGCTGTGCTGCTACTGAGAGCTTGATTCTCAACACAAAGAGTAGTTGCTGCAGACAAGCGTGGCTATGGTTACAAAAATGAACACAAAAGTTAATGCAAAAAGTCATCTCAAAAAAAGTTTATTAGCATGATTAAAAACACGTGAAGAGTGACAGTAAGAGAGAAAGTAACTTAGCATGGAAGAATATCCATTTCAACAGTTTATATTCAACAAGGCTTGAACTGAATGGGTAACTTTATTGCCAGATTTCACTTGATTTCTTTAACAACAGTTCACATTGTATAAGTTTAATCATTATTAGGACTATTGCTTTTGTTTGGATCTGATTCCTGTTGTAGGTAAGTATAAAAAAATATCCCCCATT